AGAGCGTCGGTATCTTGCAACAAAACTGCTTAAGTGAATAATGGATTCTGTGTTTCAAAGCATCTCTCTTTTCAAGCTTAAAATAGTAGAGATTATTTTCACACAGAGCAACAACATTCACGCATAATTATTATATTTCCTATCTCTATGCCATGCAAATACTTCCGATATTTTAAAGGAAGATTGATTCGTACTATTCTTTCCAGACTTACCGAGAGTAGCAATGGAAGATCGATGCGTATAATTCCGAAAAGAGCATAATAGTGCACTTGTTGTAACTGAAAATACGTCACAGCTTCCACATTGCAATCCTGCAATCATTTAATATTTAACATTATTTGTATATTGATTAATATTTGATAGAAAAAGTTGGCTATTTGAAATAAGTTGATAAAGAAAAAAAAATTTGTTGTTTATTTTATTCTAAAAGTTTTTTAATTTATACCGATAATTATTCAAGATCTTATTTCTGATATGGTAATTATAAATATCCGCTTTATAAAAACTTCAAGTGATACAATTAATGATAGAAAACCTTCTTTGCCACTTCTCGTGATATAAGAACATTCGGAAAAAATAGGAAGAGTCGAGAAGTGAATCTTGATGCAATTAGCTTTTAAGCGGAAGTGAAATTTTATTATATGATAATAAGATAGAGATAACGACACAATAATATTGCTGCAAGAACTCGCAGTTAATTATGCACCTCGGTCTATTTAACCGATTAGATGCTTTTTAAGAAATTAATTATTAAGATCACAATTGTAGAATAACAATTTGTAGTATAAGAGATTTGATGTCCTAAATTTATTATGACTTTCATTAACTATACAATCTTATAATTAAACTCTTAATTGAGATATGCTGCTTGTATACTTTACGTGTACCAATTAACTAATTACAATTTTAATTAAATCAAAACAAATATTATATATAATTATTTTATTACTTTTCTAATTATTATATGTATGTACTAACTGGAAGAGATATTTTTTAAAAGATTGAAATATATTATCGTAGAATAAATTAGAATTTACCTGCATAAAACTTCGCTTCGCAAGAACGGCCGACGACGGAGCGAAGGCGATCTTGCCTACGCGATTTGCCTTTGAAAAGGAGAATAGCGAGATTAGTCAGTGGCGAGAAATCTTCCTATTCGATCATGAACTGACATACCTGAGTCGCGGTCACGTGACATATGATGCTGATGATCAGTAAATTCGTTACGCAAGCGGATACCTGCATCACTTCCCTTACTATCAGTAAGGGTAGTGACATCGCACCACCGTCGTTGATCGTATAAATGCGCGTCAGGGTGTTGAAAGACATGCTGGAAATCCACAGTAGAAGCTGCACCGCATATACGGAGTTTATCATCTCGGTCGCGTTGGTGAGACACGAGTGTAACCACCATACCTCCTGCAAGCGAAACTGCCTGCTCGATCGATCCACCACCATGATTTTGCCATCTGTTTGAACACGCATTATTGCACCAACGAGATAATTATTCGTGAACGTTAAAGACACTTTGTGTGAGATTCGTGTACTTAAAACACTATTCAAATAAGACTTATTAAATATTGTAATGTTGCAATTTATAGGGCAGTAGGGCAGTTGTATTATAATATAATTCAATTTTACATATTTCGTTCGCATAAAAAACAAATTTGGTCAATATATAAAGAAATTTTTTGTGAATAAAGAGCATATCCTTTAAATGTTTATCTTGTTAATAATTTCGCAGAACATACAATCACAAATATATTTCCTTCATTTTATTGAAAAATCTATTTATTCGTACTTAAAACGAGCGAGAAATCAGCATTATTATTATTTATTTGCCATTTATTTATTTGTCTTCGACCCTCGCGACATTCTGTCTTCATTGAACAAGTCGCGTGAGAAAGCAGGCGTGTCGATATACTTAGACTTTAGACAGCGGATGTCTATGATAACAGATAGACAACAAATGTTTGCAAAAGAAAAACGTAAAAGAAAAGCTAGAAGAGCAGAACAATTGGAGAATGGTAAAAGATTGCAAAATTGTTATCAAATTTTTCAGACGATAGTTACGATAGAGATCGGTTTAAAAAATCCACATGTTTCAAACAGCTTCAATTTCTTTTTACATTTCCACACGATCTATGTATGAATAACGATCTGTGTGTGTGTGTTGTGTGACAGAAATCTTTAAAATTACTGCAATCAAAGCTGTAGTAATTGACATAAATGACCGTTTATTAACAAATCAGTTATTGATGCATTAATCGCTGTGAGAAATACGAGAGACATATCCGCAATTAACCCACCTTCGGGTAGCAGCAATATTTCACAAAGACGGTGAAATCTCTCGTAAAGCAGGGATGACAGGCTGGCAAACGTTATCAGTTGCATCGACAGTGTCGCATTAACGACGGCGTAAGTTACACCATTGAACAGAGAATATCTGGGCTCGACTCTACGGATGACGAAATTGTGAATGACGGCATTGTTACACGATGAAGATCATTAAAGTACGAAGTAGGCTTATGTCTGCGAAATAAAGAAATATTGATATGATACTGACTCTTCTTAATTTTGTTTTCAGCTTTAATTCTTCACTTATCATTAATTTTTGCATTTCGTAAATTAAATGTATCAATAAACATACTGATAAAAAATCGATTATTGGACAATTTTTCTTCAACAACATAATGTGTATTACTGTGTCTCTAACATAATTTTGCGATATATAAATAAATTAAATTAAATATAAATAAATTTTACGATATAAATTTACATAACAAAACATTATACTGTTATACGAAGAAAATATAAAAAACATCTCTTTTACCGAAAAAATGTGAAAAGATTCATTACATTTTTAATATTTACTATAAAATCCGTGTATCAAAAGTTTTAAAACTTCTGTAATTACTTATACATATAATTAAAACTTACATAATCATACAAACACGCGAAGATTCAGTAAATAAAAGGAAAGGATATTATTTCAGAGACTGGAAGTAAAAATCTGTGGACTTAAGAGAACTTTAAAAGTGCTTTGAGTAGTAATATCCTATTCATAATCAGACATAATGAACATTGTACATTATCTTTTGAAAGAATTTTAATTAAAGTTATATTAATTAAATATCAAATTAAATTATATAATTAAATTCTTTCTTATGTAGATTTTTTGCTCACAACAAATATTTAATAAATATGAGATTATTATTATCTCTCTTTTCCTTCAATATTTGCTAACAGATTAAATGAAAATAATTAATACTCACTGATATGTTATGTATCCGACTATCGACCAAAACGATAAAATAATGAAGGACAAGGTCCAACAGGCGTAACGTATACGATAAGAGCGTTTATTCTCCTTGTATTTTGTCGCTTGATCGAAGATGCGTAAGTGCGAGAGTGCAGCTCGTATTTTCCAGTTATACCAGAACGTCATTATAATGTCGCTCAAGACGCAAGCGTACGAGAGTAACGTTCTGACGACGGTGAGCATCAAAAGCCTCGGTCCCAGCACATCGGTCATCCAACCGAGCATGAAAAAATTCGTTACACAGAAACTCATGTACAGAAACGCGAACAGAGTCGAATAAACGACACTGTATTTCATCAGCATGATATCATCCTCGCTGACGACGTACAATCCGCATCCGAACAATCTCGCGGTACGCAAAAGCGGACATATATCACTCAGAGACATCATCGTATCGATCCTGACGGGCGAAATAAAAAATAGAAAACACTTTTCCTTTTTTTTTCCCTCTCTTTTGTGAAAAAAATATCGCGAAATCCACGACACGATCTCTCTCTCTCTGTCGGTAGCCTTGTTTAAATGCTTCCTAATACGGAGCGTCCTTATTCAGCTCTTAATGAGATTCTTGATATACGCGTGAGAGAAACGCGAAGCTATAAAGCCGAGTCAGAAAAATCACGTCGACATGACAAGGACTTCGTGTACATAAATATGTAAAAAAGACGTTTAAGTGTATTTTTATATAATAAAACGGTGAAAAACAAGGTAGAGATAGAAATATAGGAATAGAAATATTTGAGCCACAGAGATGTAATTTCGCTGACTTTTCCAGAAAAATGTAGAAGTTTTCAATCTTGTAGTTTGTATAATTTGCGTTTATGAAACGCCTATAAAATTCAAAATAAACGTAAAATAAATGTAGCTCTTGCATAAAGTTTTATGAGTTAGAAACATACCAATTATATCTCATATTTCCATCGATATATACTCGCGGCAATGCACAAATTAAATGTTCCACTGGGATCGGAAGTAATTTTCATAATGATAACACTCGTGTGTCGTTTCACGAGCGAAGGTGACCGATTCTAAATTATAGTATATTAATTTCGATCCAAACCACGCTAAAATCGTCAAATAGAGAGAACATAAATTGCTGAAAATTGCCACTTAGAGAAAATTATAACTATATTAAAACTATATTATATATACTAACTATATTAAAATTAGTCTAACAATGAGTGGCGGTGTCCGTTCAGAAGCAGCCGTATATACTACTGTCGGTTTGTAAACTAAGTTCTTCCACTTAGCCGCTTTAACTGCGATGTCCGTAAGATAAATGGAAAATATGTCTGACACATGTGTGGGTGTGTGTGTGTGTGTGTGTGTGTGTAAGACCCTTTCGGTGCTTCACGTTTCATGATATTAATCTGCTACCGATAAAGTGTAAATATTAATGTTACGAGCAATTAATGCACGACCGTGTCCTGTTCAAAAATTTGATGGCATGACAAACTAACGCTTCGGCCGTCACTGTTAACTATCTTCTGACGTCACGATGACGTTTCTTTAGATAACTACTGCTTATCCACGAATAGAAAAACAAAGCTAATCATAAAGAGAACATGTAAAACGTAGAGCACTACATATCGCGGCATTTTATAACCGTGATTAGATGTTAAACGCTCCGAGATCATCGCGGGACACAACAGAAAATATTGTACCTTTCATATTCATTGTAAAGAGAGATGAAAAGATAAGCAAAGGATAATGATAGAATACTGATATCATGAATTATAAATAAATCATAATCAGATATTGTCATCTACAGTCTGCGAAAAGTTATATGGAATTAAAAAGAAATCAGTTTTCAGGAAATAAAAGGAGATAAAAAAAGAAAATATATAAATATTTAATCTCTCATTTTTCTCTATATATCATGTGAGATCATGTCGAAACAAGCTGCAATCATTGATAAGACTCGGCATATAGTAATCTGGCAGGAAAAGTTTTTATGTGAAGGCTATACATACATCACATTATAATTTAATATCAAGGTGTGCACGGAAGCTCAACAGACTATGGATAAAATAATGAAGGACAAGGTCCAACAGGCGTAACGTATACGATAAGAGCGTTTATTCTCCTTGTATTTTGTCGCTTGATCGAAGATGCGTAAGTGCGAGAGTGCAGCTCGTATTTTCCAGTTATACCAGAACGTCATTATAATGTCGCTCAAGACGCAAGCGTACGAGAGTAACGTTCTGACGACGGTGAGCATCAAAAGCCTCGGTCCCAGCACATCGGTCATCCAACCGAGCATGAAAAAATTCGTTACACAGAAACTCATGTACAGAAACGCGAACAGAGTCGAATAAACGACACTGTATTTCATCAGCATGATATCATCCTCGCTGACGACGTACAATCCGCATCCGAACAATCTCGCGGTACGCAAAAGCGGACATATATCACTCAGAGACATCATCGTATCGATCCTGACGGGCGAAATAAAAAATAGAAAACACTTTTCCTTTTTTTTTCCCTCTCTTTTGTGAAAAAAATATCGCGAAATCCACGACACGATCTCTCTCTCTCTGTCGGTAGCCTTGTTTAAATGCTTCCTAATACGGAGCGTCCTTATTCAGCTCTTAATGAGATTCTTGATATACGCGTGAGAGAAACGCGAAGCTATAAAGCCGAGTCAGAAAAATCACGTCAACATGACAAGGACTTCGTGTACATAAATATGTAAAAAAGACGTTTAAGTGTATTTTTATATAATAAAACGGTGAAAAACAAGGTAGAGATAGAAATATAGGAATAGAAATATTTGAGCCACAGAGATGTAATTTCGCTGACTTTTCCAGAAAAATGTAGAAGTTTTCAATCTTGTAGTTTGTATAATTTGCGTTTATGAAACGCCTATAAAATTCAAAATAAACGTAAAATAAATGTAGCTCTTGCATAAAGTTTTATGAGTTAGAAACATACCAATTATATCTCATATTTCCATCGATATATACTCGCGGCAATGCACAAATTAAATGTTCCACTGGGATCGGAAGTAATTTTCATAATGATAACACTCGTGTGTCGTTTCACGAGCGAAGGTGACCGATTCTAAATTATAGTATATTAATTTCGATCCAAACCACGCTAAAATCGTCAAATAGAGAGAACATAAATTGCTGAAAATTGCCACTTAGAGAAAATTATAACTATATTAAAACTATATTATATATACTAACTATATTAAAATTAGTCTAACAATGAGTGGCGGTGTCCGTTCAGAAGCAGCCGTATATACTACTGTCGGTTTGTAAACTAAGTTCTTCCACTTAGCCGCTTTAACTGCGATGTCCGTAAGATAAATGGAAAATATGTCTGACACATGTGTGGGTGTGTGTGTGTGTGTGTGTGTGTGTAAGACCCTTTCGGTGCTTCACGTTTCATGATATTAATCTGCTACCGATAGAGTGTAAATATTAATGTTACGAGCAATTAATGCACGACCGTGTCCTGTTCAAAAATTTGATGGCATGACAAACTAACGCTTCGGCCGTCACTGTTAACTATCTTCTGACGTCACGATGACGTTTCTTTAGATAACTACTGCTTATCCACGAATAGAAAAACAAAGCTAATCATAAAGAGAACATGTAAAACGTAGAGCACTACATATCGCGGCATTTTATAACCGTGATTAGATGTTAAACGCTCCGAGATCATCGCGGGACACAACAGAAAATATTGTACCTTTCATATTCATTGTAAAGAGAGATGAAAAGATAAGCAAAGGATAATGATAGAATACTGATATCATGAATTATAAATAAATCATAATCAGATATTGTCATCTACAGTCTGCGAAAAGTTATATGGAATTAAAAAGAAATCAGTTTTCAGGAAATAAAAGGAGATAAAAAAAGAAAATATATAAATATTTAATCTCTCATTTTTCTCTATATATCATGTGAGATCATGTCGAAACAAGCTGCAATCATTGATAAGACTCGGCATATAGTAATCTGGCAGGAAAAGTTTTTATGTGAAGGCTATACATACATCACATTATAATTTAATATCAAGGTGTGCACGGAAGCTCAACAGACTATGATGATATCGCTTAAACAGGAATGTCAGTTAGTTTTTCCACTTGTGATATGTAGCACAGATAAACACCTATTGTTAGATACGAAATGAGAAGTATAGGGCATATAGTGTAGATCATTAATGATCTGAGAACTAATAAAAATATTTCGTTTGCATGTAATATGTAATAGCTCTGAAATATATCCAGATCCCAGAATATAAAGAAACGGAAGGATTATGCAGACAAGAAGGTCAATATGTAACGACACGTTGCCGGTTTCTACGAAAAATGCGACGTTATCTCATTTTTATTAATGATTGTCAAAGTAGGTCTTCTAACGCAAACTAATAAAATCTTATGTCGTAGTTTATACACAGACACTAAAGATAATAATAAACAAATCTACCTGTTAATTTTGAACAACCATATTTTTCATCTCTTCATACTATAACGATCCGTTCGAACATATGTAACCAGTATTATGTATAAAAAATGTATGCTCGCTCGTTAGTAAAGTATCAACATCGCGGTGATATAAGCTTTTTCGTATTTGCTAAAAATTCTGAAATCGTCACATTGTTTACAAGAAAGAACTAGATAATTGTTAAATTTGTCAATTATTATTGTTGATAAATGATAAAAAAATAACAGAACCACGTATTTTAAAATTTATATTTTTTTGAGACACGCTACTCATAAAAACTGAAAAAATTTCTTTCGGAATTTTGATAAGATTTGAGAGAGAGGCAGAATATGGAAAAATTAATATTCAACAAACGGAATAAACGCTTTTTATTATTATGCTTTATGTTTAATATAATTTGCGTTTATGTTATTATAATTATAATAAAATTTGCGCACAAATTACCGCGCTGGCTTTTAATTGCCTTATTCTCTCACCTTAATATTTTAGTATCTCCTTAATAATGTTAAATATATGTATCGGGAAAGGAATCTTTTTTTTGTTTGTTGAATATTAATTTTTCCATATTCCCCCTCTCTCTCAATTCTTATCAAAATTTCGAAAGAAACTTTTTCAGTTTTTCAAATTATCAAATTATATTAACATAAAGTATAATAATAAAATCAAATTATATTAACATAAAGTATAATTTGATTATAGTAAAATTTGCGCACAAATTACCGTGCTGGCTTTTAATTGCCTCCCCTCACTTTTGTATCATACATTCGTAATAGCCTTTATTGTTTCATTTTTAATCTTAATAAAATATCGAAACATTAATATAGGATTAAGTTGAACAAGATTATGATTAGTATGTGCTATTTTTTTTTTTTTTTTTTTAACTAAAGAATAGATCAGTAATGTGTTTCACGCGTGTACAATATCACGATAATA